AATGAGAAAAACAAATTCTATATGATCTCACTTACGGGTGGAATCCTAAACAGCCAAACTCACAGAATCAGAGGATAGAATGGTGGTTACTTGGGGCTGGGGGATTGGAGAATTGAGGAGATGTTGTTTAAGGTTATGAACTTGCAACCAGTAGATAAATAAGTCTGGAGATCTAATGTAACTATGCACACATGCTAAGTTGCTTCAGTCACGTCCACTTCTTTGCGACCCTATGAACTATAGCCCGCCAGACTCCTTTGTCCACGGGATTCTCCAGGCAAGAATACTGGAGTGGATTGCCATTCCCTCCTTCAGGGGAACTTCCCGACCCAGGGACTGAACCCACGTCGGGAAGCTGCAATGCCCCTCCTGCACTGCAGGTGGATTCTTTACCACCAAGCCACCAGGGAAGCCCAATGTAGATATAGTCAACAATACTGTACTATAAACTTCAAAGTTGCTAAGAGACTAATCTTAATTTTTCTTATTAAAAAAAAGGAAATGATAATTATGTGACACAATAGAATTGTTAGCTAACTACACTACAGTGGTAATCATATTGCAGTATTACAAACATATTAAATCAAATGTCATACACCTTAAAGTTGTGCAGTTATATCTCAATTACATCTCAATTTAAAAAAAAGAAAATAAAAGAACTGGACCAGGCCTAGGTTCAAATCCTAGCCCTGCCACTTACAAATTGGGGGACTTTGGGCAAGTCTTGAACCTGTCTGAACTTCAGGGTTTTTTTTTTCCCCTTCAAAAGTAGGATAATGATAGGTACTTCTCAGGTAGTCATAACAGTTTAGTGAGATAAAATATAAATATATAATAGGACTCAGAGGAGTGCCTAGTATTCAATAATTGTGTGCTCTGATCGTCTCTTGTCCCCATAGTTTTCTTTTTAAAATGATTAAGACTGAAGAAGGTAGTAATTTCTTTTTAACTTCCTGAACTTGACTTTATGTTTGGTAACCTCATCCTCTTTAGAAACACTCACACACATATATATATTGGTCTCTCTTCCTTGAATATGACACTCTTTCATTCTGGCAAACAAACAAATCACAATTCACTTGCTGCTGCTCTGTGTGAACAAGGCAAAGAGGTTGTAGGATCTACTGAGTGGCTAGGTTGTAGGCTCATCAAATTTCTTGTCTCTTATTTACTGACCTTTTTAATATATCTTTATGTGCTTGTCCTGTATTCTGGTGGATGTATTAGACTCACAGTGTCTGTGTTCAGGTGGGATAACTGGTTTCACTGGGTATGGGCTAAGCCATCTTCTAGGTAGACTTTGGGGATTCATGCTGGACCTTGCTGTGTTCAGGTGTTTTAATGTATTTAACAATCAAGAGTGTTCCATTTGTTCTAGAGAATGTGCACCCCAGAGTTGTACAATGATATGAAATGCATGGCCCAAGAAAATAAATGTCACATGATATATGTTTTTTAAAATGAAGTTTGTTGCTTAGGCTTAGCCATCTACTAATAATTTCCCCCAAAGAAACTCATTAAGCCTGGGTGTCAATTTACTGGGCAGTCCTGTATTTCACTGACAATTGAACTGGAGTCCTGAAAGGTCATTAAAATGAAATGAATAACCTAATCTCTTTTGCAAAATCAGCACAGGATTCTAATTTACACTTATCAAAAAAAAATCATTTCTATCCAAATTAACCAATCAGTACTATAATGTTAAGGCAATTATATAAGACAATGTTTCCAAGAGATTGAATTACTTCAAATTAATCCCATGTTGGCTTACATCTCCAGGCCAGGTATCTTCTGGGAGCCATGTGTTATGAAAATTTGTGCCACATCTGGGTTTCTGTGGGCCAAAAGGGTATTAATGGTATCAAATGGTATAATCACAATATGTATTACACATATATACACAAGCTACTCTATAATGAAAAGTTTACTAATTTGGAGCAATCAATTAGGAAAGGTTAAAGAGGTTAATACCAGTGTTGGGAAAGGAAGAAATTCAACTCTTAGCTGTAAAACATTAAAAAAAATTATTTGTAGGACAAGTTATAAAGTGTAAATGAATGAACAAATGAATATATGTAGCAGTCAGCAATGTGTCCAGGATGCTTTTTAAAAGCACATGCTGGGACTTCCCAGATGGTACAGTGGGTAATAATCCACCTGCTAATTCAGGGGACATGGCTTCGATCTCTGGTCCAGAAAGATTCCATATGCCACGGAGCAGCTAAGCCCATGTGCCACAACTACTAAACCCACCCTATAGAGCCTATGTGCTGCAACTTCTGAAGCCTGCACCCTAGAGCCCATGCTCCAAAACAAGAAAAGGCACTGTGATGAGAAGCCCGTGCAACAACAAAGAGTAGCCCCCACTTCCCACAACTAGAGAAAGCCTGCCTGGAGCTATGATGACCCAGTGCAGACTAAAATAAGTAATTTAAAACAAAATAAACACATGCTTCTCTAACTCAATAGCTGTCTCCACCAACATTGCATCACATGCACGCACATAAATCCAAGTCAAAAAAATGATTTTTCTCTCACTAGGCACAACTTAATATATTTATAATTTGACAACTTGTTAGAAACTGAGAGGACAGCTCTGCCTGCCTAAGGAAAGGGCAATGAAAAACTGCATGCCATCTTTCTGCTTTTGAGTCAAAAGTTGCTGCTTTAATCATTTCATGCCAGATGTGTCAGTGGGCATTCCAGACTCTCTGAGTATTGGTGTTCTGAGGTTTGGCACAATGTAACCCCTTTCCAGAAAGGAAAGAAATCCCATAATTTTAGAGCTTAATACAAGTTAGCTTGTTAGCTATATGCTCTCTAATGTAATTCCTCTCCAACAGCCCTATGGGTGGGGACATGTTAGCATCCCGATTTTGCCAGTGAGGAAACTGAGGCCTAGAGCTTCGCGGCTAATTTTGGCAGAAACTCAGGCTTCTCAAGCCATCCTAGGTCATTTCATACCCCTCACACTGCCACTCCTGTCACAAAACTCATGCTGTGAGAAACTTTTGTCACATGTGATTCCACTGACCTTCAGGTGACGAAACCCAAGTCAACAGGAAATGATTGCTGTCTAGAGGGGCCTCAACATGAAATGCCACTCCAAACAAAAAAAGTTCTCTACTTTCAGGGAAGATTTGGATTTCAATCCAGCAAACATTTGTTGAGTACATTCTATGATCAGCATCTCTTTCATCACAACAAATGATTTTACTGATATGCATAACAGTGAAAGAAGATTTCTATTAAAAAAAAATAGAGTGTACCTTGTGGTTAAGAAGGACACATTTAGAATTTTCTCTGCATCTCCCATTCTTGGGAAGGGATGTGATGACTGTCTATAAGCAAGTTCCTTTGAATACCCAAACATCAGTTGTACACAGTTTGCTCTTTAATCAAGCTCAGTGTTTTTCAGTACTTATTGTGACTAAGAACTATGACTATATACTCATTTGATTGATTGCTTTTTTCCTTTATCAACAATTTTATTCAAGCAATAAGCAACTACATTCATAGACATACTTAAAAGACAAGAGGTAACAAAATATTTTCAGAAAGATAATATAGTGATGTCATACATATCACAGTGAGGCCATGTAGAAACTCATTAAATGTGTCTCTTCCATGCCCCCATGCCCCCTGCCCCCTTAAGAATATTTACTTTTTCTCTCTTTCCCTGTCTCTGACTGTATGTCTCTGTAGATTTTTTTTTCCTTCTGGAGGTTCTCCAGATGAAATCAAAGCAAGATGTCATACCAGCTCCAGTGGCTGGTCTCCTTCCGGCGTTTTCCCAGGAAAAAACACGAGTTTTTTCATTGACAAGCAGGGAGTACTACAACCACTGCAAAAACGACTGCCGTTTGCACATCCAGGATCATGGTGCAATGCAGGACATGGCAGTGTTCCAGATGGGGGGCCGGCAGTTTGGGAGATGCCAGTCTCTATTCTGTCAGACAGTCGATATAGCCACCATGCTAGAAAGGGGAAGAGGTGGTTAGGCGGGGCTGGGTTTGGCGCCCAAGATTGGTATGGGAGAGAATGAGTGCGTCATGGTGATGGGGTGCTTGCTTCCTCCCTTCTCAGTACTGAGTTGATCTTCCTTCCCTAGTGGGAAATCTTAGCTTATGCTGAAGTGCCAGCATTCTCTCTTGGGCTCAACTGAAAAGACAAAATCCTGGCTTCGAAAGGGAAAGGCGGAAGGAACTAGCGCAACATTCTCCTGCGCCTGCTCAGGTTGTCTATCCAGGGTCCATCCGTCTGCCAAGCTATCAGCCTGGCTACCGATCAGTCTCTGCTGCTCCCTCCAATTCCCCGCTTTCCGACACTCGCTCTGTTCGCGGGGCTCCCGGCTGCCACTCATTCTTTTGATCCCCGCCTCATTAGTTAGTCCTCTTCCTCTTCCCCGATGTACCCATTTTAGAAATTTTTCAAGGATGACTTTGAGTCATGTAATGTTTCACCTTCAGGCCAACTTCAGTGCCTAACCCCTGCTTCAGATATGATCCTTGGCTAGACTAGGACTAGAGGAAGTAAAAGTGTTAGTCGCTCAGCGGTGCCCACTCTGCGACCCCTTGTACTGTAGCCCATCAGGCTCCTCGGTCCGTGGGACTTTCCCGGCAAGAATACTCGAGTGGGTTTCCATGGCCTTCTCCAGGACTAGAGACTTTGCTGGTAATTCTGATGCCCACATGGGTGTCCTCCCCTTCTCTGGGGCAGCCTCCCCCTCTTTCCTGCTCTCTAACCCCTGGTCCGAATGACCTTATTTTTTATGTGATTTCATCCCTGGCCTCAGAGATTGGCTCATGAGGTTGGCACATGATCCAAGTTGAAACATCACAACTCTTTCTTAGGATTTTTCAAAGTGAAACTATAGCAATTCATACACTTCCTCGGTTCTGCCTGAGGCCCTCTGAGACTGTGAGCCTGCAGCCACCAGTGCCTCCCTTGAAGAAACAAAGACAGGACTCTGATGGTGAAGAGACAGGGAGACAACTCTGATGGTGCTGGAGCCTTTGGATCCAGTCTTTCCTCAGGCCGGCTCTATCCTGCCCTTGCGCTTCTTACGATTTAGCCATGTGAGTCAACAGATTATCTGTTTTCTTAGCTAAAAATTGAGATTTTTGCCTCATGCCACCAAAGCCTTCTGACTAAATACATCAATGAAATACTTTTTGTATACTTAGCTGAGAGTATACTAGAAGAGAAGGCGTGCTGGACTTATAATAATAGAAAGAACTTTGAATTTTATGAGGCATCGAGTAGCTCTTTTCGACCTGTGCTGTTGGGGTAGAGTGTGAGAGAGATTTGGCTCAGGACCTAATGGTTCATTCAGCCCCGTTCAGGGATTGGTCAACCTGCTTCTGGGACCCAAAATGGAGCAGAATTCTTTTCATAACCACATTAAGATGATCTGCTTCACACATTCCCCATTGAGTTGTGGGACTCATCTTCTGTCAACCTTAGGCCCACAGACATGGCTTATCCCTTCCTGGCACTGAATTAATCCTGAACACAAGTGTGGTAAGTATAAGTCCTAAACGCGGGCTGCAGCACAGATACCATTGCTCCCAGGAACCACTAAATCATTGAGCGGCAGTAGCAGGGATGAAGAGTGGGGACGTGTAGAGGCACACAGAACTAGGTTTTAATTTAACTCTGCTGCTTACTGACTCTGTGAATTCTCTGAGTGCCTGATTTTTCTCAAAAGTGGGGATAATAATAATTTAACTTTTAGTGCCTTTGTGAGAATTAAATTAAGTAACTATGGAAAAGCATATGGGATACCACCTGCACATCATTGGTACTTAGTGTGTGGTAGTTGTGTTGATGATGATGGTGGGTGATGATAATGATGGTGACATTCTGACTGTCAAGTATTCTCATTCTTCCCAGCAGAGAAATGCAATGTGAGAAAGTGGTTCTTTTTCTTTAGAGCCATGTGATGAGTTACTAACAAACATAGGTTTCAAATAACTGACTCATTTTAAGGATTCATGTCTTCTTGTGAGCCAGAGTGCTCAAATGACAAAAGTGCTTAGCTAGTTTCATGCAAAAAGTATGAATCTCTATTTTATTGCTTCTTGTTTCTATATTTCAGTTTACAAAATAATATTTAATGGAAGTATACTTTAAAACATCTTAGACCCTAATTTGGGCTTCCCAGGTGGTGCAGTGGTAAAGAATCAACCTGCCAATGCAGTAGACATGAGTTTGATCCCTGGGTTGGGAAGATCCCCTGGAGGAGGGCACAGCAACCCACTTCAGTGTTCCTGCCCAGAAAATTCCATAGACAGAGGAGTCTGGTGGGCTACAGTCCATGGGGTTGCAAAGAGTTGGACACGACTGAGCATGCATGCATGCACAGACCCTAATTTGGGGTGGTACTTTCTCTTCTATTACACTGGAAGCATACTTCTAAATTCTTTCCTTCTTGGTTCTGATTTTTTTCAAAATTTTAAAGTTTTCTTCACAGTTTTCAAAGGTGAGGCATTTTTCCTATTTTAACAAAAAGAAAAGGAAACTATTGCATCTCCCCAAAGATATGTCTTAAGGAAAAGCAGATCCTGAGAGGATATTATTAACTGTCTGCTTCTTATAATTGAGGTCTCTTCTCAGAAAACTCTGATGTTTAATCTCAGCTCTCACCAATAACCCTTTCCTCTTTTTGATCAAGTGTTTAATTTCCTTGAAAGATTTTCTCATATTTCGACTATTACTGAGAGGATTTTCATTTTACCCTAACCCTTTAATGGCTAAATCTTGCATATCCATTATCTCAAAAAAGGGTATTTCTTTTCATCTAAGTAAATAGTTCAAGGATTTGATCTTCTTTTCTCACCTATTACTGCTGAAATGAGAAATTATTTGAAAACTTCTTTTGCTAAATGACTATCTTATAAAAATCAGGTAAAATTAAACATTGCCAAAAACCCATCTTGGACAATTCTCAATTATCTACAGCAATATAGACTAAAGCATAGATTACTAAAAAAAGAGACACTTCTGAACCTGATTTTGGCCATTCTTTTACTTTCTTCAAAGTGAAATGTATGTGTTTAACCTTCAGTTCAAGTTTTTCTTTCAACCCTTAAAAACCTTCTAATTTTAGGAAAACATGAAATATTCATAAGGAGGTAACAGGAGAAAGAAAAAAGAGGCAGCCAGGATAACACAAAAGTCTAGGAGTAAAAATGATTGCCATTAATATTTAAATATGTAATGATATGACTTATATATATGTATATATGTGTGTATATATATATATACACATATAATCCAGTATGGATTTTGCCAGATTTTTCCATAGACTTCAATAAGACTTCAACTTATCTCAGTCCTAACCATAAACCCTAGCTGACTTCTAAATCTGGGTTAGGTCCTGTGTACTAAGAATTTGGTTTTATGCAAAGAGAAAGTCTAGCCTTTGCCCTCAGCTTCTGGGGGACAATCTGTCATAGGGGTGTGTTTGTGTAGGGCAGGAACAGGCCACACTTTAGGGTAATGTTGGCCATATCTAACAACCTTAGGGTAAGGTCTGGTCACAGGAAAAGCATGGCTTAGGAGTCACAACCATGTACATAGGGTGAGGGGTTCAGATCATGCAGAATTGTTGAGACTGAGTTCACCCACATGGTGATCCATCAGTCAGTCAAGCATGCCTATGTAATGAAACTCCACTGAAAACTTTGGACACTGAAACTCAGATGAGCTTCTCTGGTTGGCAGTACTCCACATGCACTGTACATTAATGCATCTTGGCAACATGGAGAGTGGGCAGTGAAAACTTTACATTTAAAATCCTGTCAGACTCAGACCTATGTGTCTCTTCTTTTGGTTGATTTTATCTACATCCTTTCCCTGTAATTAAACTCTAACCATGAGAGTAATAGCTTTCTGTGAGTTCTGAGTCATTCTAATGAATTCTAGAACTTGAGGGTGATTTAGGAAACTTGCAGCTTTCGAGGCCAGTCTTGAGGACTGTACCCTCAAACTTTGAAGTTTGTCTAACTGGGTGGTTCAGTTCCGTCACTCAGTCATGTCCAACTCTTTGCGACCTCATGGACTGCAGCATGCCAGGGTTCCCTGTCCATCACCAACTCCTGGAGCTTGCTCAAACTCATGTGCATCAAGTTGGTGATGCCATCCAACCACCTTATCCTCTGTCATTCCCTTCTCCTCCTGCCTTCAATTTTTCCCAGCATCGGGGTCTTTTCCAATAAGTCAATTCTTCGCTTAAGGTGGCCAAAATATTGTAGTTTCAGTTTCAGCATCAGTCCTGCCACTGAATGTTCAGAACTGATTTCCTTCAGGATTGACTGGTTTGATCTCCTTGAAGTTCAAAAGACTCACGGTGCTCCTCTCCAATTCTCTCACTCTGTAACTGCCTCTGGTATAGCACCTAATACATTGTTGTTTTTCGTTTGTTTTCTAATATTTAATTATGTAATGGCAAAAAAAGGCTCAGAGAATAGAAAAGGCTTTGTAGTGTGTGGTGGTTTTATTAACATAAGTCCAGTCTAGTCTAGTGTTAGTTGCTCAGATGGTAAAGAATCTGCCTGCAATGCAGAAGACCCAGGTTTGATCCCTGAGTTGGGAAGATCCCCTGGAGAAGGGTATGGCCACTCACTCCAGTGTTCTTGCCTGAAGAATTCCTTGGACAGAGGAGCCTGGAGCACTAACAGTCCATGGGGTCACAGAGTTGGACACGACTGAACAACTAACACTTCATAGCTATTACTAAAAACCAGTTTTAGAATATTTCTATCATTTCTCCAAAGTTTCTTCATGTTCATTGTGATCAGTCTTTTCTCTCACTCTAAGCCCAAGGGAACCACTGATTTGCTTTCTTTCTCTATGAATTTAGCTTCTCTGGCTATTTCATTTAATGGAATCAAATGGTAGTCTTTTGCATCTGGCTTCTTGGGCTTCCCTGATGGCTAAGACAATAAAGAATCTGCCTGCAATGCAGGAGACCTGTGTTTGATCCCTGAGTGGGTAAAATCCCCCAGAGAAGGGAATGGCTACCCACTCCAGTATTCTTGCCTGGAGAATTCCATGGACAGAGGAATCTGGGGGGCTAGAGTCCATGGAATCACAAAGAGTCAGACATGACCGAGTGATTAACACTTTCACTTTTTTTTTTGCTTATCACAATATTTTTCAAGTTCATCCATGTTGTAGTTTGTATGTCAATAGCTATGGAAAGTCTGATAATTTCCCCTGATTGCGAACTAACAATTTAATGTCCCACAGTTTCATGGCTACTAAATGAAGACGTGTGCCTCCTGGGTCAGGGAGAAAGGACTTCATTACTCATGGAATGAAGGCAGCAGGAGCTTCAGGTCTGTGCCAATGCCCTGTGCTCTCCAGTCCCCCAGGGGTGATGCAAGCTGGCCTAAGTGTGTGCTGCACAGGCAGAGGGTTTATGTTAAGATTGAGGAATCCTGAGCTTAGGAAACCCTAGTTTTTTGTAATGAGCTGTAAGCGAACCTACTCAACTTTTGTCCTGGATAGATGTTGTTTTTTTAAACTTTTATTGGAGTACAGTTGCTGTACAATGTTCTGTTGGGTTCTGCTGTACAAGAAAGTGAATCAGTTATACATATATCCACTCTTTTCTAGATTTTCTCCCCATTTAGGTCACCACAGAGCATTGAGTAGAGTTCTCTGTGCAATAAAACAGGTTCTCATTAACTGTCTATTTTATATATAAGAGTGTGTATATGTTAGTCCCAGTCTCACAATTCATCCCACCCCCTCTTCACTCCTTGATATACATGTTTGTTCTCTAATGTCTGTGACTCTATTTCTGTTTTTCCAATAAGTTCATCTGTACCATTTTTCTAGACTCCATATGTAAGTGATATATGATATTTGTCCTTTTCTTCCTGACTTAAATCACTCTGTATGACGGTCTCTAGGTCCATCCACGTCATTGCAAATGGCATTATTTGAGACATTGTCTTTATTAAACTGGACGTCAAGCAAATAATCCTTCTGCTCCAAGGTAAGGTACTATCTCAATCTTTCAGTTGTTTGTTAAACGATCATCCTTGAAGAGAGGATCTGGAACAAA